GAACGTTGACAAGACAGAAGCCACACTCTTTGGCTCTCGTCAACGTCTCAAATCTCACAGTTCTCACCTCCTCCACCTACCCGACCTCCCCCTAAAACTCTCCGAATCCGTACGCAACCTAGGAGTCAGGTTCAACCCCCAATTATCCTATCTTCCCCACATCCGGTCCCTCACCAGCACCGCTTTATTCCACTTCTGACGCATCGCCCATCTCCGCCAATACATCACTCCAAAAGCTGCTGAAACTCTGGTCCATGCCTTTGTCACCTCTCGGCTGGACTATAATGCCCTCCTCGCCGGCCTCCCATCCACTACCCTCCATAAAATCCAGATTATACAAAACTCTGCCACCCCCATTCTCAGAGCCTCAGTCCTCCACTCCATTATGCTCTGAGGCTCTGGAACTACCTTCCTCACTCTCTTCACCTCGCCCCCTCTTTTCTTGTTTTCAGGTCTCGGCTGAAGACCTTCCTTTCGACCGTGCCTTTGGTCACTTTCCTCCCCCTCCCCCTGGCTCGGCCCCAGGATACGTTACTGTGAAGCGCTCCAGCGTGGAGGGCGCTATATAAATCCAAGTTGTTGTTATGATGGGGAGTGGATAGGAGCCTGCAGAGAGGGCTGGTTGACTGTGTCTGCCTGCAGGGGCAGAGGGAGAACTGAGTGACCAGCATCTGGGTGGGAGGGGGTCGAGGCAAATGGTGGTGGGCTTCATCTGGGAGATGGTGGTTGAGAGGGAAGGGGGAGAAATTAAGACAAAGGAGTCCAGGGTGGGAAGCAGTAGGAGCCGTGATGGAAGGATTGTTGTAGAAGGCAAGGGCTTGGGGGTTGGGGGGCCACGGGTGTTACTAGAGAACATGAGGAAGGAGGAGGAGGCAGCTAAGCGGATATTTTCTAGCTTTGATATGAAGAAGTCCAGGACCTCGTCACACTTGGCATCAGATGTGAGGATCGAGGATGCTTGAAGTGTTTCATGGAGGAACCGATAAGTGTTGGAGAAAGCACAATAGGGATATTTTTGGCCCTCAGAATGGCCTGGGAATAGAAAGCAGTTTTGGTCTGTGAGAGGGAGAGATGATAGGTATGAAACACAAAAGTGGTGAGTAACATATTTTAACCAGATGTATGATTTTCACAATATGCTATGTGGATATGTACCTGCATGAGTGTTTCATAGTGCATGGACTAACAATGCAGAACTCAGAGGGGATGATTCTCTCATGATCCTGGCAACAAGGTATCACGCAAGGAAATCCTAGCATTTAAAAACTGTACTATTGCTGAGATTGGTATTTGAGTGCAGCAGTGCCTTGCATATGTCTCATTTGTCAGGTTCTTGACATCAGATTAAAGAAAGCCCAATGCCCATGATTTCCAAGATGTTGGTAAGGATTATTATAATGAAAACAGCATAGGTACAACATATGTCCGACACATTGAACGTGTTACAAAATGGAACAAATGTTTCTACTGCATGTGCAATTTGAACATCTGTAAGACATGATCCATTACATGAACGACTTACAGATTTTTCACTTTAAAGGGAGTCAAAAAGTGATCTCAACACATCTTAAATTCCCATTGGAAAGATGGAATAATGGGAAGAGTCAAGATGTCTGTAAACATCCTGAATTTGAAGATTATCTTGATGTCTATCAGACCTTAAAACCAGACTTGATTTTGTGGTATCTCAAGGTACAATCTTGAGTCCTATTCATAATAAATGAGTTGGAACCCATACCTGCATCTTATGCACTATAAACATTAACTGGTGAACTCAGCGGGTAAAAGACTCCTCTGAGGCATAGGATTACATGGTTAAACATCTGATGAAAAGTTCCAGTTTGCCCGAGTGCTCATTTTGAGACTTTTAGCCGCTGCATTAAATTTGCACCTTGTCCAAAAAAATTTCAAGGATTCTGTGTCCCATAAAATACAGCATATATTCTAACAGAAGTATTTTCCTAAAAATAGGTGTTCTAAGTTCATGCCAGCATTACATTTCTGAAACCTGGTCAGTTTTACTTGACACTGATGTTCAGACATCTGTTTGTACTTTTGTTCCCACTTTGACTGCTTTATAAATAATTTTTACAACTCTCTGGAGACTGCATGGAATGGAATCATTGTGAGCCCCAACAGGGTTTGCATTTAATTTGCTGTTGCTGTTCTGAGTGTCCCTCAGACATCTTGTCCTACATATGCCTTAAATTCCTTCAGTTAAATGTGAACAAAATTGTAGCCATCTTGTTCAGTTTTCATCAATGCCTTCTCTACTCAAGCTCCAAGTTAATTAAAGGAAACACGTGTACTTGCAAAAGGGAAAGCTGAAAGAGATCTAGAGGTGTTAGTTGACTCATTGTATCAAAATAGTGTGAGGCAGCAATAAAAAGGCAAACAGACCTATTTGCCAAATCAGTGGCGTTCAGATCCCCAAAAGCCATACTCAGGCTGTACAGTGCTCTGGTCAGGGCTAGATTATTGTATATAGTCACCATGAAGCTATGCATAGGAGAGCAACCCCGGGTTTAGAGGAATGAGCTATATGCGCAATAATTTGGCAAGCCAGGACATGTCAGTCTTGAAAGGAGACGTTTCAGAGGGACCTTTTAGAGGTATGTATACAAGATTTTGAATTGGATTGAGAAAGTGAGTCCAGAACAATACTTTTGAATGCACCAAGACAGCAGAACAAGAGGACACAGGTTTAGAGTTGTGAAAGGAATTGTCAGGGTATACACCTGGAAGCTTTTCTTCAATCAAATGGTGATTAATGGCTGAAAACAGTTAGCCAGGACACTGGACTCATTTAAAAAGCAGCTTGATGCTGTGACGGGATGACAGTAGAGTGGGGGTTGTGGAGTGATAAGATCAGATGAGCTGAAGGCCCTTCTATATCATAGAAGAGCTCCGGGACACTACCCCGAATGAAGGGCGCTATATAAATGCAAGTTGTTGTTGTACATCCAAACTAATCTTGTGAAGTAGTTTACCAACTTACTGAAACAAGGCACAAAGGAATAAAATATTAATGCAATGTAAATGTCAAAAACAAAAGCGTTGATTCATGTTTCTTTTAAACAAGGAATGTATTTCTACAAAATTTGGATTCGTTGGCTTTCAAACAAACATTGCTTTCGTATTATAGTTGTTCAGTCAAGGTGGCATACTTTGCATAGTCTATTGCTTTAAGGGACATGAGTGTACAGCACTTGGCAGAGAATGTGGAATGTCTTGTAAAATTTCCTTCTCATCCACTCCAGTCTACATTAGTTTATAAATAAACCCTGCTTTGAAAATAAAAACACATCAACTTGGGTGAAGAAAGGGTAGACATATATGCATGGAGTGAGTACATAGCCACCAAGCAAAATGCTGTTCATTATCACATACTGAAAGAAGAGCCCCTAAATTATACCAAGCCATTTTGTTGTATTTTAGGATTGCACGAAAGTGTGGAAAAATGGGTCCTAATTTGGAAGGTAGTTTTCCACACTTCTTAAAGTTTCCAAATTAAGACTGAATTTCAGAATTTTCCACTGATGAGCATAATGTCAAATTTTAACACAAAATGACCTTTCAACCTAAGACTAAATGGAAACCCAGACCTATGGAGTCTGGAGCATGTATCAGACTATAGAACATATGTGCATTGCTCGCTGGTATTCTTGTATTTCTCCCAAGATTTTCTCTGCTCCCACCAGATCAGAGTCCTGTAGCTCAGTGGTTGGAGCACTCGTCTTGCAAGCAAGACACCTGGGTTCAATTCCAGGCAGGGCGAAACCTGGGCAAGTTTCCTTACTCCACACGCCTAATAATAATCCCTCCAAAAACAATAATAAATTGGTCATTTTCAATCCACAACTGTTTGTGGGACACTGCTGTGCGCAATTGGCTGCCGCGTTTCGCCCACAAATATACACTCAATTCACTTTACAGCATATTCTGTGAAGCGCTTTGAGACGTTTAGAAGATGTGAACAGCGTTATATCAAATGCAAGGATTATTTTTTAGTTTATCAACAACTTGCATTTATATAGCTTTCTGTGTTCTCCAGTAATACTACAGATGACATCACAAATCCAGAATCACTGAATAACACATTTTGTTCCCTCATTTATGATGCAGTTTCATAGAATATTATAGCACAGAGGAGGCATTTCAGCCCATCGTGCCTGTGCCACAATTTGGAAGAGCTATCCAGTCCCATTCCCTGTTCTTAGCCCATATTATTATTACTATCCTTGCAAATTGTTCCATTTTCAAGTACCTATCTAATTCCCTGAAAGACCCGGATTATGGTCTCTAGAAGTTTCCCCACCATCGATGTTGGGCTGACTGGCCTGTAGTTACCAGGTTTATCTCTATCCCCTTTTTTGAACAAGTGTGTAACATCTGCAATGCTCCAGTCCTCAGGCTGAACCAAGCCAGCTTTCAGCATACTTAATGCACCTTTTATATCACTGGAGTGATTTGTCATTACTTAAAAGAAATGGGCCAATTCAGAGCAATAAATAGCATTCTGGTTTCCTACTCCAATCACTCTCACTAAAGCACAGAGCTTCACTAACTGGTGGCAAACATACTGTTTAATCTTTAATATTATTGAAGCACAGGGAGTGCCAATGGTTTCGTAAACTTTGATAAACTTAAGGAAGGTATTTTAAATTTGATTTTTAACAAAAATCTACTTGTAATCATTGAAACCTAAATTATACTGAACCTAATGACTCAGAATCAAATCAATGCTGCATAAAACAGGCTTTCGACTGCACTTTTGCACGACATTGTCGATTCATGGCAAGGATAGGATAGGATTAAGGTATGTGGAAACTCTTGAAGTTCTAGCTGTTTGTGCTGCTGGGCTGGCAGCTCTCATTTGGAACATGCAGCTTAAAATGAATGAATAAGCCCATATTGGACAGTTTAGCCTAAACTTCTTACGCAATCTAGTACAATGAAGCATTATCCACTGTGTATGCAAGAAATGGAAGCAGAAACTGTAGAATTTATTATATTTATTATAATTTTAACAGATTGTTTTAAAGAATGGAAAAAGACTATACAAAGAATTATAGAACATAATTCATTTACATATTGGATACAAGGTTTTTACAGAATGCTTATATAAGGAAACTACAAAATACAGAATAAGTAAAGCAGACCATAATGGATAAAACATTAATTTTCGTAATACAGCTTATTGGTCAAAGTGAAAACTTGTATTTTGGCATTTTCACAATTTGTTAACACTGGAAGAAACAAAGGGAGTAGGATAGAGTGGCTTAATAAGAAGGAAAGGGTGGAATTCATTCACTGAACTCATGTTTACATGACAGCCCAAAGTGCTGTTATATGGTATGTCTTTGGCAAGAATTTAGACTCATACCCCAACTGTATATAGTTGTGTAAGATTTCATCAGTTGTAAAAAATAAATTTTTTAAAAATGTGGTTGATATAAAATAGTTCTACTTAAAACTTTAGTTTCTAGACTACTTGTACTAAAAAGCCAGCAATTCTGGAACGATACACAAGATGTCACTCATATGTTCCAAAGGTACCAAAAAGCTTTCCCCTTCCAGGAACGCCTGGCAAGCCAATATCAATCGCTAAACTGTGGCCGAACATATTTAACTCACTAAAACGCGTATGCATTATACAAACATCAGATTAGCTGTCATCTATTAAGGATATTGTGTCAAATAAATATAAATTATGCATTATTTTTTCTCTGATTGGTCTATTTTAAAACTGGTTTATGTCAATCCTGCAAACAGTGAAAAAATAAAACTAAGCATCGACCCTTCACCTCAACAAATAAAAACCAATTGATAACCAATAGTCACAGAAGCCAAACATCTTTTATTTTCCCTCGCTGTCTGAACCAAGGAACAAGTATTCTCTAAAGATCGTTTCCCTGATCCTCTAATAGAAAACAAACCTGCTCATACCATCATTCACCAACATATACAAAACCCTCTGAACATGACCAGTTTCACTCCACAGCACAGTTGTCTCACAGTCAGATTATTTTTTTAAAAGAAAAAGGTTTACTCTTCTCAATGAGGGGCTCTGTAACAAAGGCCTTCAGTTACTTTTTCTGGGATCCTATCATGACCTTTGATACAAAGTTCACAATGGCACTGGCAGGCTGCTCAGGGTCATGCTCAGCAAACAGGTGGCAGACATTATCAGTTGCGCTTCCTTGTTTCCTCGCCACAAATCCAAAGACTCTGTTAATAAAAAGAAACACACATAAATAACTGTGAAGTTACGTGACTGCTGACATGTTTTGAAAACAGTACAGTGTACAGTGAAAAAGAAATGCCAAGATTTCATGTACTCTACTCACTTTGCCGAAGTACCATCTTTTGTCCATCTGACAGAGGGGGAAAGGGTATGAGAAAAACAAGATACATTAGAATTTCAATCCTCGATCACACACAGTCCAGCACCCTGACTGTAACGCAGTGCTGATCAATAAGAAATCCCAAAATAATGACAAACTTACTTCCTTTCTTGTGGGTCCAAAGCACAGAAAATGACGGTGTTGACAGCATAATGTCTTCTGAAGAAGAGTCTAGTAAAATAAACATTTTTGTTAACCGAAGAACCAGGAACCAGAGTATTCACTGGGTGAATATATAACTGCAAGGAATACTGTTAAATTTCTGATATTTATTGGATTCGTTTTTTGGTCAGCCAGGTATCTGCCACATGCAGAAATCCATTACCATGCTTAAGAATATCCAAACCAAGCTGAGATTTCCATGCATCCAACCTAAACATTGAAATTGCAGAGAAATTTATTGAAATGGAATGCATACTCTCTCCCTGGAGAGAGGCATCCTGCTGACTTAATTCCAAAGAGTAATAAGCAAGAGCCAAGGGTTGGGGACCTCAGAGTGTGCGATGTTGTCCTAGAGTCTAACCAGCTAAAACCACACAGCTTGCCATTGCTATTTATGGGATGCTGTATGAAAGGGAGTATTTAGCATTACTGTGTCCAAAATCTTAGTATGTGTTGTGATAATTACCAGCAGGTTTTGCAGTCAGCGTCCCTCTCCCTACTCTCGTCCAATGGTTTGGCTCAAAGATGGTCAAAGTCCAAGTGGGGTCGCCATACTGATTGCTGCAATGTCTGATTGTATATCTTATATAAAGTAATTCAATGAAGCACTAGAGAGAGCAGTCAAAGTCTCCCACCAAGTATGTTCATTGAGAATCTCTGCAAAACCAGACTGAAAGTACTACATAATAAAACCTCCAAAGAGTCCATTTGCCGCACTTAACTACTTTCTGGCAGTATACTGACACATAATAATCTTCTTGATATAGAGACTTATCATGCCATCAAAACCTCTCAAAGCACTTCACGGGATTAACTGTAAAATGTAGTGACTATTTGGAGGCAAATGCGCGAGCCAATTTGCACATATCAATGCCCCATAATTTGTCATGTAGTGAGAGATCAATACACATATTGACCAAAAGTCAGTCAATGAAAATTGCTGATTTATAACTGAGGGTTTGACTTCAAACTATCTGAAAACTCCCCCTCAGTGGCTCAGCTGCTGAAAGCAGCATTGATTAATAAAGATAGAAATCCATCACACAATAGCTGACTCACAATGTTTGCTCCCTCAATGAAGCCAGGTATCCTACTCCCAATTCCCTTCTCTTTCCCTATACCCACCGATGCCCTCCCTTCACATGTGCTTATCCAAATTCCCTTTAAATGGCCCCAATTGATTCAACTCCAATAGCCACCCTGACCCTTTTTTCCATATTCTGAACTCTGGCAGAAAGAATTCTTCTCAATTTTCCTTTTCATGCTTCCAGATATAATCTCAAATTCCATTCCAGACACAGGAATTTCCATGTGTTAGTGGGATGCTTAAAAAGCTTAGTCTGGTTTGGATACTATTAAGCAAGGTGATGCGTTTCAGAATAGGTCAGACACCTGGTTGACCAAAAAATAAAAATCTCAAAATGTTCCTCATCCTTAAGTCAGCAGAATCCTAGAAATTTACAGTGCAGAAGCAGGTCATTGACCCACTGTGGCTGCACTGGCTCTCAGAGCAAGTTATCCATTCAATCCAATTGCCCGCCTGATCCCCAACGACGAGGAGGAATAGCTCCTCACCATTTATCCTCTGAAGCCCTTTCATTATCTTAGTTAAGATACCACACCGTGCAATACTGAGCCATAAAGACCGTAGAGTTCCATCCGTACTCCAGAGAAAGTTGGTGCGATGATGGGGGAGAGAAAGACAATCACTGACATTAGCTCACATTGTTTTCTAGCAAAGAAAGAATAAAGACAGGGTTTCTGCTGCCAATTGCTCCCTAAGTTCAAATCAACATAATGGAGATGTTAGGTTACACTTACTTCCGTTGATTGTCAGTCAGGGTGATGCCTTGAGCTGACACTTTGAAATGTACAACAGTGGATGCAGGTGAGGGAGTCTGCACCAGGGTCTCGGATGTGGCTTTCTGGATTGCCTGATGGCCTGTTAGAGATTCCATGTCCACAGAATTTAAGTACCACACATTGCAGGCTGCAAGAGAGAGATAAGACAAATGCAGGCCGTTTGTAAGTAATGATAATAATCCTTACACTTCAGTGCCTTGGGACGTCCTCGACGTGTAAGGCGCTATACAAATGTAATTTTGTTGTTATTGTGACATTTGATGTTGCACCTTTCATGTCAGGAGGACCTTTTAAAATGTTTCAAAGGATTTACTGTAAAGTGGAGTGACTGTATATTTTGTAGTAATTTTCTTTTCAGGAAAAAATGAAAGGTTAGAGATTACGGTGGTTTTACCCAGTTTGCACTGATTTAGGGTTATGCAGGTGTTAAACCAGGAGGTGGCAGCACTACTTCTCATAGTTAAGTGGTTGGTTCTTTTTGAGGTCCAAGTGCCATTTAATTACCTCAAGGTGAGCATTTTCAGTATTACATTTATGTCCCATATCAGGCTTTAGGTTATGTTTGTTAAATGGCTGCTGCCCAGCTGAGGAAAGCCCCAAACCTGCTCTCTGCGGCCAAAGAATTAACGTTTAGGAACCGGATACCCGCCAAGTTGTGGTGCTGACATTGGAGCATTGTTCCTTGCTTTGCCACAGCCATGAAGCTCAAAAATGCCTCTTCTTTTCTAGCTTCTGTTCCACACTTGTGCCCCACGCTGACAATACTGCACTCATGCAGAACCTTTTTAATGCCAGAATAACAACCCCGATGTTCATTTAAATTCAAATCTACTCAATAACATACCTGAAATTTTATATTTCTTGCATTTATTAATACTAATTCTTGCACTAGATACAGCACCTTTCATACCAGGGATAAAGCTCAAAGTGTTTCACAGGATTTACTATAACTTGTCCACATTGCAGTTGAACATGACAACCATTCTTTGCACAACATTGCCCCACAAACAGCCATGTTCTTAGGCTTAAGACTATTGTCTGGTACTGGACTATAGGTACTGGAGGAGGCAAAGTAGATTTGTGTGTCATCCGCACACATGTGGAAGTTTACCCCGTGTCTGTGGATGACATCGTGCAGAGGGAGCATATAGATGAGAAGAAGAGGGCCAAGGATGGAGCTCTGGGGTACCCCGCAGGTGATCAAGTGGGAGCGGGAAGAAGCCAACCAGCTGCAGCGGCATATGAGCCAAGAGGAGAAAATTGGAAATTAATTGGACACACTAAATTTATGTTAAAAATAGCTATTTTGGGGCTCCAAAATATGTAAAACATATGTCCGTCCCTATATCGACATTAAAGACAACGCAACTTACATTTCTATTGTGTCTTTTACACATAGTAACATCCTAGTACCACAGAACTCTTACCTGCTCCCTGCTTTAACAGCTCCACAGCTGAGTTGGTGGCAGTGTGCGAGGAGGTGTCCATCCCATCCTCCAAAGGATCTGTAATTGGGGAAAAAAAACCTCTTGAAAGTAAAAGTAAAAAAAAGGACCTCCACAACAATAGAGCGTCCTACACGTGGGGTAGTGTCTCGGAGCACAGAGCCATGCTGACTGTGCGAGAATTAGGTCGCAGGACACTCTGGTCCACCTACCTATGCCTGGCTACAGAGCAGGTCTCTGTTTGTTCTCATAGTCAGACATGGCTCATAGAGTAAGGTTCATAAGCAAATAGGAATGAGGAGAAAATATTGTACTGACTTAAAAACTATGTTCTGCAACAAAAATATAACCAGAACACTACTATAAACTTATTCTGTGTTTGGGTTGCATTTTAAACTTGATTAAACAGGAGGTGAAAAACACAATTTTGTTTTTAAAAAAATGTCCATTAAAACCTATTGGGGGGAAACAAAACCCTGCATTATGTTGATTATGTGCTGAGGAAAAACAGGGCAGCTTCTGGACATTTGGAGAACTAAAATAAGGTATAATGGAGGAGGCAGCAAACTCGCCTTTGACTGGGACATGTTGTACAGTTTATTAAGCTGTAACAAGTCAGATCATTTTACATTCTTGACCAGTGCCCTAAATAAAGGAACAGGTTCAATGATCTGAATGCATGCTGTGAAGCAGCACTAAAGATAAGCATCCTAAATCAGCAAACTGCGGCACGGCAGGCTGCTGCAGATGCTGCTGCAGAGCTTAAAGACATTTCACGAAAGATAGAAATAAAGGATCTGATTCTCTGATTGTTGCTGAATGAGACAAATGTATTCGTTGATTGGTAAATGTACCTCTCCTTGAGGGCCAGGTTATAACAGGGAAGCCAGATCACACACTGACAAGTCAGGAAGTCTACTGACCAGAGGAAATATCAAACAGAGATGTATCAAAGATGTATCAAAGTCTATTTTTTTAAAAAAATAAGATTATTTCACTCTCAAAGTCGAATTCAGAGAGGCAATATCTTTCTAAATGCTTATAGTTCTGTCTGGGAGTGTTCACTGGAAGTGCTCTTTTTAAAAGGAAATAAAGAATTTTAATTTTCTTAATAATAATAATCCTGGCATCTGATATAACGCCTTATCATGTCTTCGAGGCGTTTCAAAGCGCTTCACAGAATATACTGTAAAGTGAATTGACTGTATATTTTATGGGTGAAAAAATACATCACACAGGTTTTGGGGTTTGGGGTTTGGGGGGAGCAAAGGAGATCTACTTTGAGACTAGAAACTTCAGAAATCAGTAGCCATTTTTACGGACTGTTCTTGTGGCAATTGAATGCATTTACCTCTGTCAGGGATGAGCAGCTTGCAAGGCAATGCCAGTGGGGTGATGGAATGCTGGTACACCAGCGCAGTCAGACTCCCTGAATAGAAAGACACGATGAACCGTTACTCACTTGGGAAACAAATACAGCTGTAAGATTGAAACGTCTGGAAAACATTTACTGAACACACTCAGTTGACTTGTGAGATTGATAGTGAAAAGAAAAGCGTACCAAAATAAGGTTCATTTGGGCAACCCTTTAACCGGACTCCTTTCTGGGTACATTCAATGAGGAAATGTCTGACCAGCTCATTCGACAAGTCTCCCACTGCGGTCAAATGAAGGAATACAAAATGAGTCTAAATTAGGAATTTTCTCAGCACAAATATCATTTTTATATATATATATACGCACCTACACATACCCACACACTATTTACAGAATTTATCTGATTGCGTACAAAGAAAACAGGGAGACAGTTTTGGAACATTATTGCTGGAGGTCATTTTACAACTTGTAACTGAAGAACGACAATACCTTTTTTGTTTTGCTGAAGCACAGAAGCAGGGGGTGTAGCAACTTTCATTGCCAATCCATAGGCTCCCCGGAATGAGTGGCTATCCCGCACAATGAAAGAACCAGGCTCTTTATCTTTCAGTAACGCAATAGCTGCAGGGTAGAAATGAGCATCTGTTAGGTCATATCATTAATAACTAGATCAGTAAAACTTACAGCTTGTCAAGGGATTTGTTCCTTTGTACCTCAGGATTTCAATGACATTTATTTCTAATAAATCAAACTGAGATTGTATCTCGGCTCACAGGATCTAACTAAGGCACTGTTTCAAACAGACTAAAGAGATTCAGTAATTAATACAAGATGCAACAAGTTTGTGGCCATTTATTTTAAGCTGAACTCGACCAGCTCTGTTATCAGACTATAGCTTTGAGCACAAGGAGACGAAAGTTGAGCAAATGTTTGAATTGAAGTGCCTCTTACACATCTCTGATAAAATAATGCAACTTTTTGAATGTCCATTAGTTTTTTTTTAAATGTTCAATAAATAGCAACAATGTTTTACAGCCCCCTTGATTTATGGTTTACCATGTCTGGTAAATCTCTGGATTCATCCTAGATAGTTTTTCAGTTGCAACTGAATCATCTTTCAAACAAAACTCATTTCTATTCCAAATTTGGGAATATCTGTAGCTTAGAAACACAATGCACAATATTTTAAGCTTGTCAATCAATTATACAAACATTTATATTAAATTTGAATGTGCAGTGTGACTCCAAAAGCTAACCTGAATTCAACCTAATTTTCACAGTAGTAGAGACTAATGCAAATAGATTCACAAACGTATTCAGTTTATCTGATCAAGACAGCTGAGAGGATAAAAAGGGATCTTTTCCAAATCTCAAGCAATGCTGCCCTGATAATCAGTTGTTGGGATGTTTGAGGAATGTCTGAAAACTACCTGCAGTTTTGCTGTAGTCTACAGTTATAATGGAAGGGAGGGAGGAGAGAAGTGAGAAGGAAAGAGAAAGGCAGAGTCTCCCCCTCCACTCAGCTCTTCTTAATATTGCAACTAAGATCAGAAGCTGCTTTGTGAGCCACTGCAAGTAGGAATCAGATCATTCCAGATTCCTAAAGGGGTTTATATTCTATTAAATGTTACATTTATGTTTTGGTCTGTGGAGCACTGAGGTTTTTCAGTCTCACAACAGACTCAGTTTTACAGCAGTGCTTGTGTCAAGTCATTGGGGTGGGGTTTCTAAGGATAATTCCAGGTATCCTATGAAAAAAACATGGAAGTGGATGTGTGGATTGAGATATGGTTGAAATTGAATCTCTTGTTGCCTCACCTTGTTCACGCGATATCTCTGGTTTATACCAGAATTTTGATGTGTCTTGTACAAATTTTACAGTAACATGCTTATCAGAGCTGCTGCCAGGATCTGCAAGTGGAAAAGAAAAATGAAATACATGGAAAATGTCCAACACTATTGCTCTGGAGGCTACACTTTCAAAATGGATGTAGTGTGGTTAAAACCTGAAGAGATCAATGCTTTTGTGTTCAACAAAAACAGCAACTTGCCCTTGTCTAGTGCCCTTCACGCAGGGCCATTTATTTACACGTCAAAACCCTTTGGTAATTATAAAATTATAGAGATTTTAAATCACAGTTTTTCAACCTCATTCAACTTTGACATCATTTTTCAAATGGCTTCGTTGTTGGTTAGAGCTGTTTTGCTGCCCTAACCCTATTTTGGCAATAACAGAAACAACAAAATTACATTTGTATAGCGCCTTTCAGGTCGGGAGGATGTCCCAAACGGCTGGACAAATAGTGTTTCAGACTCAAGCTGGGGGTTGGGATTGGGGAGGGTGGAGGGCAAGGGGATTTGAGACAGGTTTTGAAGGAGACAATGGAGGGGGTGAGGCAGAGGGATGGAGTTCCAGAGGGTGGGGCAAAGTGGCTGAAGGCCCAACCGCCAATGGCGGGACGTGCGAGACGCGGCACATAAAGCAGGCCGAAGCCCATAGGGCTTTAGGATATTGCAAAGGTAAAGGGGACTATGAAAGTGAGGATCAGGATCTTGAACTGTATCCTCTGTGTGATGGGAAGTCAGTGGAGTTGGACAAGGATGGGGATGATAGGGTCACGGAGCCTTGTGTGGGAGAGGACACAGGCTGTAGAGTTCTGGGTGATTTGCAGTGTATGGAGGGAGGAGTTGGAGAGGCCAACAAGCAGGGAGTTTGCATAGTTGAGCCTGGATGTAATGAATGCATGTTTGAGGGTCTCGATGGCCTGCATTGTGAGACGGTGACGGAGCCAAGCGATGTTGTGGAGGTAGGGAAAGGCGGTGCAGGTCATGGCATGGATGTGGGGTATGAAGGACAGTTGCACAGGACGCTGAGGTTCCATACTGGCTCTGTGAGATGCAGAGTGCATCCATGGAGGGGATGCTGTCAGTGCCCGAGGTATGGAGGCACTGAAGGGAGCCCAAGCAGGAGTGCCTCGGTCTTGTTCACATTCAACTGCAGGAAGTTAGCTCTCATCCAGGACTTGATGTCCGACAGGCTGTCTGTGAGGACAGCAGTAATCGAGGGTGGAGACAGAGAGGTAGAATTGGGTGTCATCTGCATACATGTGGAAGTTGACCCCACGTCTGTGGATGATGCCATCAAGGGGGAGCACATAGGTATTGAAAAGGAGAGAGCCAAGGACAGAGCCCTGAGGGATGTCACACGTGACGGTGCGGGGGTTGGAGGAGAAGCCATTAGTGGGGACAAAGTGGGGATGGTGGGACAGGTAGCATTCGAACCAGCCAAGGGCAGGTCGGCGAAGATTGAGCTGAGAGGAAAGGCGGTGTAGGAGGATAGAATGGTCGACAGTGTCAAAGGCAGCAGAGAAGTCCAGGAGGAGAGGAGGCAGAGGGAGCCCTGGGCTTCGTTTTTGAAATGATGGAGGTGAGGGAAGAGGGGGAGATAGGGTCAAAGTTGTATAGGGAGGGATGGGTGGGGGCCGGAGTGTGACAGGGAGGTGGCGAGGGGGTAGCGGTGGAAGAGGGAGAGATAGCCAAATGAATTCCCTCGATTTTGGATTCGAGGAAATCCAACATCTCCTCGCAGTTGAAATTGGAGGAGAGGATGAGTGAGGAGCAAGAAGGTGGTCGGAGGAAGCGGTTGGTGGTGGAAGAGGAGCCTGGGATTGTCCTTGGCCTTCAAGATTATCTTGGGAGTAAAAGGATGATTTAGTGGAGGCGAGGGCCTTGGCAGTAAGCGTGGTCAAGCCTGATCTGCCGATGTGCGTTCGGCGGCAAGCACTTGTGCCTTGAGGGATTGTAGATGGCTGGTGTATAGGGGGTTTACGGAAATATGAGGCAGTTTGGGAGGTGAGGCAAGGAAGTCAAGGATGGAGGAGAGGGAGTTGTGGAGAAGAGACCGAGGAGAGTACATTGTGAGAGTGGGGCCAGAAAGGCAGGAGTTCGGGTGATTCCAGGGCAGTGGAGAGGGAATGGGGGGAGATTTTTTTCCAGGAGTGGTAGGTGATAGAAGTGGGTTGAGTAGGGAGAAGGGAGGTGTAAAGAGAGATGAAGTAGTAATAATCAATAAAAAGATGCAGAAATAATTTGGGAATCTCTCGAACTGATGACTTTGCCTAAGGACAAATCACAGCCTGAAAACAATCAGTCAGGTAGTAACAATACATCTGTTTACCATTCCTGTCACTTGATCTTGTACAAGCAGAGTTTTAATACACTGCTTCAACAGCAAATCAAATCAACATTGAAATCACGAATAAATGCTTTAATAATAATAATAATAATCCTTGCATTTGATATAGCGCTTTTCACGTCGGGAGGACGTCCCAAAGCGCTTCACAGAACACACTGTAAAGTGAATTGACTGTATATTTGTGGGCGAACGCGGCAGCCAATTGCGCACAGCAATGTCCACAAACAGTCGTAGATTGAAAATGACCAATTTATTATTGTTTTGGGTTTTGGAGGGATTATTATTAGGTGTGTGGAGTAAGGAAACTTGCCCAAGGTTTGGCCCTGCCTGGAATTGAACTCAGGTCTCTCACTTGCAAAGCGAGTGCTCTGACCATTGAGCTACAGGACTCCACAAGCTACAGGACTCTTTAGTGACATAGTAGAGCTTTAGTGTGCACATCTGGTCAAACCAACCAGAGGAGCAGACAAAAAGTGAAGACCTCTTTAAAAATACAAGTATAATTTTGAAAAAATTGTGGTCTCCTGCCTATTACAGACTTAATATTACTGCACCAACAATCACATCCAGATCTCCCTTATAAAACAAACAGAACCTCCTTGGATTTACAACAAGTACTTGCATTTAGACAGTGCCTTCACTCTGAACAGCGTCTCGGTGCGCTTTAGATTTAGTCAGCTGATCGCCAAAAAAATCACTGCGAAAGCATTTTCGATCTGTTTCAAGTGCTGAAGAGGAAGATGAGGCAAGGGAGTCAAGGATGGAGGAGAAGGAGTTGTGGAGAAGAGAGATCGAGGAGTTTGCGTTTGTGTAAAACTGTTTTCATTGTACCTCACAGCAATAGGAGAATTAATCCATCACCAGAAACTATTTAAGATTATATTCCCATTTTAATGATCCAGCCAAGCCAGGTTTAGGCCATAAAAATTACAGTTTGTGTAAAAGAACAAATCTTTATTCTGCATTAGAGTTTAACTCTAAGGCTGCCACCGTAGAAAACCTTCTGTTTCTCAATGGATTGTACCTATAAAACAGTCTCTCCTCCTGATGTGAAAGGCGCTAAACAAATGTCATTTATTGTTGTTGTCTCTAAAACAAGTAAAGTGCATCACTAATGTTAGCTAATCTATCACTTCAGCCTAACTCACTTTTCTGTATTCCAGTGTATGAGCCCAAGTCACCAATATTTCAGATAATGCATTGTACAAAATTTTCTTTCAATGTTTAAAAAAAGTTTTTGTAAGACTGCAAAAGTTCATTAAGTCCCTTTCTGATGCTTCTCGACCCCATTTATCTACATTCTGACCATAGCCTTCAATTCCTCCTCTTTCAGGAAGCACATAACCTTCAACCATCTTCCATAGCAACTTACTCAACAATTATATTGATCAGACAAGAAGTTGAAGTAACTGACTATTAGAGGGGGGAAAGGAAAGAAAATAACTCACCTTGTACAACAGAAGTGCACATGACTTTAGAAAAGTCAGGAAGAACACTTGGGAATGGGATGCTGATCGTGCTCCCACTGTGTGGGCTTGAAAAGCCACTTGAAGCTGGTGATGTGGAAGCAAATGAATGATCTCCCTCAGAAATCCGCTTCTTCTCTGGCAGTGGAGGATGTGCACTGGTACTCACAGCACCGTGCCGCTGTATTTGACCATTGTGTGCCTGCCCACTGACTGTTGTGAACAATCCCTGCTGCAGGCTGGCATTATCCAAGAAACCGGCCATCTGGGAGTTTATGGTAGAAGGTGAATTGATCGTGCCTGTAGAAAGACCAGGTAGTGTGGCTTGTTTGCCAACGTACTGAGGGCCACTGCTGATGCTGTAGTTCAGATAACGCTTGTTATTGGACTCTGCAGGCAAAGAGTGCAGCATGGAGATGGTCCCAGGGCTATCTTGCTGCAGGTTTGTCACAAGAATCTCGGACGTATCCATGTGGCTGGCAGGGGAAACAGCCTGTGACCCCGGAGAAGGAAATTGTAACAAGGTAGAGACATCCTGCAGTGGACTCCCAGAATGAACTGAAAACTCTGGGGAACCCAAATAACTGCCAGTTGATCTGCTCACCCCAGTTACAGATGACTGTGGAGAAAAAGCTCCTTTCTGAGTATTTTCTAACCAAGCAGGTGGGCTGTCGAGAGAGAAGAAAAATACATCATTTAAACAGCTTAATAAAATGAAGTCTTCAAACACTACGTCAATGTGATACACACCCTCCATTACCTGTATCTTTCAGCATTTTAAAGACTTGGCTGATACTTCCTCTCAAGTGCTTTTCTAAGAGTACCATCCACTTCTAACATTCTGACTGTCGGAATGATAATTATGCAGAAACACTGAATAATCTCAATCATGTGTTCAGTTTTTTTCTTTAAAAAAAAGCCACTGGGATACAAATGTTGAAGGTTTACTGTGAGCCAACACATTCAGATTCATAAATTCTTTTAGAAGGGAATCGGATAGATGTCTGAAAAATCAGAATGTTAAAGTAAAAGCTCATGAGGAGATAACCACTAAGTGCTTGATGGATCAAATGGTCAGGATCCATATATATGTTCTATGGTTACCATATTTACTTGAATTTAAGGCACCCCTGAATCTAACAGAGATTTAAAGTTTGGAGAGGAAAATATACTTTTCTGAAATTCTAAGATGATTAATACGTGTCCTGATTTAGGAGGGACTTTTTATCATGAAAAATCCTGCGCTTTTTACTTGAATTTATAATCAAAGCTAACTGGGACATGATGCTTCACATATCCTCACTGTACTGTTTATAGATACATTGCAAAAAAATCAGGTGAAGACTTTTAATTAAATTAACCAGCTTCTATTCATTCATATGATGACTGAAGTCGCAGAATGACATCTTTTATACCGAGGACCCTCGTGAGTGTGATTGCTGGGTCCAATGACTAATTACCTGTGTTAGAAGTGAGGCGAGAGTAATGGCGGACTACTGGGTGGTAAGGTTGAGGTTCGTATCACTACCTGCATGTTGCTGGTTGGGGTTATTATATATATATATAAAAAATAATCCTTGCATTCAAAATGGTACCTTATCAAAACATCTCATAGAGATTTTCTGTAAAGTGCAGTAACTTTGTATTTGTAGGTGAGCATTATTCATCCTTCGATGCTGAAAAATTCTCAGAATTTATTAAATGGCTTAAATGGATTCTTTAAACACCTTGGGGTTTCCTTTGCAGCCAATACCCTGAAAATGACTTTCTTATCAAATAGGCAACATTTGCAAAGGATGTTAAACCCACATCAGCAGTGACGTTCAGTAGTTCGAGTTGACGTTCAGAGTTGACGTTCAGTAGTTCGACATTCTTTAACGTTTAATGGGAACATTTAGTCAGTATCAAAAGCCATGTGCTCTGCATTTCCATAAAATTCCACAGAAGACCCATATTCTAACTAGTATGGTATCGAAGGCTGCAATAAAAGGGTTTTCCCTTTTTACAAAACAAGAAATGCAGGAGCATTGTCCACACCTTTGAGAATATACACAAAAATCTATAGGATACAATAAATCCCAAACATTGCCAAAGCTATCTAAAACCTACAGCAACATTTCAATCTATGGGGATTTGGTAAGTATTTTGGTGAGAAATGAAAAAGGACTTCATTTTGAAATATTTGTTGTATTATAAATAATGTGGAAAGTCATGATCTCCAGAATCAAACAGATCTGACAAGCATAGCAATCCATCACCATGCTTAAAGAGTATTCAATCTAAATTAAAAGTTCCATTTGTCCAGTATGGTGTACGTACCCACCCAATTTACCTAATTCCAGAGAGTTTAGAATTAAGTAGAGCGATACAGAACAGAAATAGGCCATTCAACCCAAATTTTATACTCCATACAATCCCTCACCACCTCCTGTACCCCTCTATTTCCATCCCCTTAATTTATGCACCAAGTGTTCTCTTAATTACATTTAGTTTCAAGCCACAGCTTCCAGCAGTGTAGTCCACATTCTCACTATCCTCTGTAAACTTTGTAAACTCCCTGTTGGATCTACTATAGGCGCATGTTGACAATGGTCATGTATACAAACATCACCCAGCGAGTGTGTGCGTATGACTGCTGAACTTTAACTGCTTAAAACCATGAAGCTTGCCATTGTGAACATTGGCAAGCCTCCCCGCTTCTTGTCCAACTAGGACCACTGTACTCATTAGGGCTTTGCTTTGCAACAGCAGAGGTGGAATTAAGTGAACAGTTTTAAAAAGTACCAGGCATCTGAGATACTATTTCTAAACTGGACTCAAGATTCACAGTTGAAATATGTATGAAAGGTGTCTTTGCCAGAAATTCACTGTATGAACTCAGTTTCAGGTTTGGATTGGAAGATCCCATTTACAATGCTGTCCTAAACAAAGCAAATCTGATAAGAGCTTCACTCGAGTACACTTGGCAGTGTGAACTGATTGTTATGTATATGAATAGTTAGCCCTCTGGCTATTGGTTTCATGCTGGTATAATTTCATCCATGTATACAAACGTCTGGTCTGATACACCAGAGTCAGCCTTTGATCTTCCCTCACAAATCTCCAGACAACATAGGACAGCAGCACAGGGCTTTATTGCTGTTTTATATTGCAGCTCTGAAGATTCAAAATGCTGCAGCAAACTTTAAGCGTAAACTACTAAGTGTTTCCAGATTTGGAATTTCCATTTCCATTTACGCAGGACTTCCTTTATCACCCCCTTTGCTCAGCTGACACAGGCCTGCACTGCATCACTGACCCCTCCTCTGCACCATCGGGGGCCAAACCTTGAACCACTACATCCCTAACCATGGAACTCCTTGCCTCATCCCTCTTTAACCATCTTCAAATCCCACTTTAAAACTTTGACCACACTTGTGGTCACCTCCATCTTCCCCTTTGCTTGGCAACCAAACCTGCCACTGTGAAATGCTCTGAGGCATCACCCACGTGAAGGGCGCCAAATAAATTCAAGGTATTGTTATAAAAATAAAATTAATGGTGTTTCGTACTTGTACAAAAGTCTTGATTGCAACACAATACTTGTGCAATGCTGTTGAGACAGTCACTGAAAGTCACCAGTTCTGGTCACTTCTATCATGGAATCAGACCATTGGGATACACAGGCAATGCGACCACTTGCATGCACAATGGGAGATCGGACTCCAAAACAAAATATCTGGCAATGGAAAAATCAGTTATTTTACATAATTAGTTTTCTGAAGGTGGCTTGTCTCAGGTAGCAAACTTGAAATGTAAAAGAGGATAAAACTCACTGTACTAGTATCATACTGTCAGCATCCCTATAATGCAAAGCCTGATGATATTAATAGAATAATTGCTTCATGGATCATAGAAGAAACTAACAACTGTAAACTGTACTCTGTAAATACAGGAATTATCATAATTGATAAAGGGCTGACCAAAAATGGCTGAACCTTTATAACATTCCAGTGCAGGGCTTTCAACATTTGAAGTACTGTTTTTGAAGAAATTGTATCTAGGGAGAAAATGATTATTTTTCTTTTTAAAAACTATTTTGAGCATTCTTTCAATTAGCGATAACAACTTTTAAGAGAGACGTAGATAATTATTTGGGGAGGACAAGTTTGCAGAGCTATGGGGAGAGAGGGGGGGAGTGGGATTGATTTGGATAGCTCTTTTCAAAGAGTCAGCACAGGCACGATGGGCCAAATGGCCTCCTTCCATGCTGTATAATTCTATGATTTTGTGAATGCACACCCATTTATAATAAGATAAAATCCAACAGTTCAGTCCTGCCTTCAAGTGGGTCAGAACTCATGCAATAACATGTCCTTCTTCATAATTTAATAGATGAAATATGCTTCTTGACAAAGGTTTGGCAACGGGGAACTCCACTGTAGTGCCCTTTAATACAGCTTACCACTGTGAACCCATGCTAAGTGGAAGCATGCTGCATCCAGCTTCTAGCATTGACTGCCTGGCTTAAAAAATGGCTGACTTCCAGATCACTTCCTGCATGCATTCACAGAAAGTGCTGCCAATGTGACACAACTGTGCAGAATGTGATATCAACAGTGACCTGCGAAACCTTGTAAAATGCATTCCATAAGGTAACCAAAGTTGAAGTCAACATTTAAGTACTTCTTTCAAATCTCATATTACCTCGGAAAAAACAACCAATTCTGAATTGTTGTTTGGTGAGCTACCCTTCTCCATAGACTTCAGTGACTGTGGGTCAAAGTCATTTACTCAGAATGATATTGCCAGGCATCAGTTTCCTACCTTTCTGTCCTGGACACAGGGCTGCTTGTGGAGACTGAGCACATAGAGCCAAAGGATTGTTGGTAGGCAGGATTTGTCATCTGAACGTCACTGCTGTACAGGCTAGGATTTGTGACCACACCACCATCTGAAGTTACCGATGAGTGATTCACTGCTTCCATGTAACTGCGGGGATCTAGGAAAGTAAAGATGGCATGCAATGTAAATGGTTAATGCACTTTTGTACGCCCAACCTTTGCAACCAGGTCGCTGATAGCATTGTACATGGTGACAAACAAAGGTTTACTTTTGTTTCTTGGAGAAATGCCAGTGAAGCACACCTTCACCTGGGGAGTTTCAAATGATCTTTGTTTAACTTGTCACACTGAGTGGGCAGGTTTCAAAGGATCCTATGGCAATTTTATTCAATCAAATTAACTTTGGGCTGATTTCAAGATATCAAATATTGAAAGAAGTTTCCAGGTCATACTCCTATCCCTTAAATTTCCTGGGTTCACACACAGTAATAATAATCCTTGCATTTGATATAAAGCCTTATCAAATCATTGAAACATCTCAAAGTGTCACACAGGATTTGCTGTTGGGTGCAGTGACTACATATTTTACAGACAAACAAGGCCATCGATTTGTGAAGAGCAATGTCCCAGAAAAAAAGTGATTCGATTTAATCTGAGGGGTTGTTGGCCAAGACACTGGAAGAAACTCCTTATTCTTTTCAAGTAGTGTCATGGGATCCTTAACAGACAGACGGGACCTCAGTTTAATATCTTATCCAGAGGGTGACACTTTCGACAATGCATTGATTGCACTGGAGTTGAGCGTAGCTAATAGCTAGAGAGCTACTGATTGAGTTAGGTTGACACACAGTAATAATAATAATAAATAATAATAATAATCCTTGCATTTGATATAGCGCTTTTCACATCGGGAGGACGTCCCAAAGCGCTTCACAGAACACACTGTAAAGTGAATTGACTGTATATTTGTGGGCGAACGCGGCAGCCAATTGCGCACAGCAATGTCCCACAAACAGTCGTAGATTGAAAATGACCAATTTTATTATTGTTTTTTGTTTTTGGAGGGATTATTATTAGGCTCTGTGTGGAGTAAGGAAACTTGCCCAAGGTTTCGCCCTCTGCCTGGAATTGAACTCAGGTTTCTCGCTTGCAAAGCGAGTGCTCTAACCACTGAGCTACAGGACTCCAAGTAGTTATCAATAGCGAGATGTCTTCCATGGAACTACAGCCAGCACATATTAATACTTTTAGGAGTGGATTTTTTAGCGTCTATGTTCAGCCAGCTCTTATTTACTGTACACAATGATCAAGACTTGTTGAAGTATCTTAAAACTGCTTGGTGACATGAAATCGAGAGGCATGGCAAATTGTTATGTGAATAGTGAACGAGTGCTGGAGGATGCAGATAGGCTAATAGGTGGTATGATAAGGGCAATGGCAATGCTAAACAAATGCTAAACATTTCAAATGACGCAGAAGAGAAGAGGGACCTTGACGTGCAGATGCAGAGTCATTAAAGGTGGTGGATAAGGCCATAAAAAGGCACACTGTATCCTCAGCTCTGTATCCAGAGGTATCGATACAAAAGCAAGCAGGTATTAACAAACTTGTGCAAGCCCAAACAAACTTGACCACAGTTTGATCACTGTGTGGGAATAAAGTGAATTAAATTTGTGGCTTAGTTGATAGCACTCTTGCCTCTGAGCCAGAAGGTAGTGGGTTCAAGTTCCCTGTCAGGACTTGGAACTCAGATGTTCTAAGCTTACACTCCAATGCAGTACTGGGGTGTGCTGTGTTATCTGAGGTGCTAACCTTCCTTCAGAATCGTATTTGGTTTCTCTCGCTGGTGAGGCAAGTGCTCTAACTGATATGCGACAGGACTTCATAAATGACTCATTCCTCAGGAAGACAAATACCTGCATTTGTATTGCCATGAGTTAACATCTCATCCAAAAGACATTCCTCCGGATTGTTATGTCAGCCTTACACTATGAGCTGAAGTCCCGATGTGAGGGTTGAACCCACAACCTTTGACCTGGAAGCGAGGGTATTAGCAGCCAAGCTGACACAGTAGACCTATGTGAACTCAATACTACTGCATGTCTGCAATCCTTTAATTCTATATTAAGGCTCTGAATAAATAATATCCAAACAATTTCTCTTGGCAGATGTTATAAGGTAGGTTTTGTGCATTCTGACAACTATAAACCTCATTCAGTGCTCAAAAGTGTTAACCTGCCATAAAGGCTAGACATCTGCTTGACAAATCCGGCATTTCAAAAAGTAAAATTATAACTCAAAACGCTCGTCTCAGTCAAATCCAACAAGCATGTTGTCACAAGCACCAGGATGAGATAAACCTATCTGAAAATCAATGAAACATGAAAGACCGCCCAAATTCCTAGCATAGTAAGGATAACTTGGCAACATCAGAAGCTATCTGCCAAGAGAGACCTTGGTAGATTGTTCAAACAGGGGCTTGCACAAGCTTGTATACCTATTTCATATCAATGCTCTCTGCTTTTATCTAGAAAGATAACAGATGTTTCAGCATGGCAACCACAAGGTGAGGGCTTGAGATTGGAATGGTATTTATCAGAACTCTGGGCGACCACGAGAATTGCAAGCACATTATCTGGTGGATTGGGAAGGAGGTGGTTGTACAATATGAGGGGGTTATCTAATTGGCTCGCAGGTCTAGCAAACTTCAGCTCGAGCAGCAAATCCGACAGAGAAGGTTAATCTGAGCCACAGTCAGGGGGAGGGCGGGGGTACCTGCAGGGTTCACTTTTTACAGATACTTGTGTTAATGTTGCAAATCAGACCCAAAGCCAACAAAGATTCCTTTTTTCATACTCCCTCATCACACATGCCATTCTCTGGTAATTTCTTGCGGCTTCAGCGGAAAAACAAAATGTTGCATTCCAATGAGCTGGAAAGTGAACTGCCTCATTCTTTCACAAACACTCCCTCATTGCAATGAAACTATTCGCTGAATTACAGCCTTTCATAAATTTCAAAAGGGAGGAAAGCACACAGCTCCTTCAGTTTTTGGAGTACTAAATGTGCGCATTGGGTTCAGTTGGCTGAAACTTGACATTGATTTAAGCATTTGGCTCTAAAATACACAACCACTACACTTTACAGTTAATCCTGTGAAGCACTTTGACATATCCTTCTTCGTGAAATGCGCTATTATATCAAGCACAAGTTTTTTAAATTATTGTTTATAAAGCTGTCTTGTTAGATAAAATGAGCCCCACAGTGAGTTGGCAGTAAAGCACGAATGTACCACTGTTTGGCCACAGTTTAACATAATTCAGACTCGGAAAAGAGAGTGCCTCACATTTTCCAACAGCATGTCCACTATTTGAGAGGTGTGTGTGGTAGGAGGGGCGAGTCTAGATCACAAGCGGCCCATTACTGAGAACCATTCATGGCCCAGTTTATTTGCAACTCTGCCTTCCCTACTAGACAAGAAAGGTCTTCAGCCTGCCATTGGATGCATAGAATCATAGAAATTAGCTGCAGAGAAGAAGGCCATTCGGCCTAACAATTATGCACCAGCTCTCAGAGCAAAGTGTTCATTCAATCCCTCTGCCTTGCTTTATATCCATAAGGAGTCCTGTCCAGTATTGGTTAGATCACCCACCTCGCAAGAGAGAGAACCCGGGTTTGATTCCCAGGCAGGGCGAAACGTTAGGCAAGTTTCCTTTCTCCACATAGCCTCTGTTTACCGAGCAGGAAGTAGGAACCTGATCGTTAGTCAATTGGCAGATCGCTTTCTGGGGGTAATAATCCCTTCAAAAACATAATAATTTTTATTATTAAGCTTTCAACGGCGAGTTCACATCCTGACATGTGGCTTAAATCCACAACTTTCTAAGGCGAGAATGCTACCAACTGAGCCAAATGACAGACAACATTGCAATCATGTTCAAACTACCAGTTACTTCACTTGCCATTGACATCAGGCAAGCAAAAGATAATACCAAACAGTAAATTATACAGCAAATGTGCACTACAATAAGTTGCACATCAAGCACTGTTTATATTTTGGTGGATTATCATTTAAATGAGGAAAGAAGGTTCATTTACAAATGGCCTGTTTAATTGATGACTTTAGCACCATCGATGATCCTCCTCCTGAGGTCTCACTGAGGTGGTGTAGGTGCAGCTTTGCCCAGGTTCATGGGATCATTTTCTGCTAATCAGCAAGTGCTGCTGGAGCAGCAGATGACACAGGACAGCATCACATATTAGTGGTGTTCAGCTAACGCCTTCTTTCTGTGCATCTGCAGGTTCCGTTGAAGGGATCCCTACACATACGCACAACAGAAATCTTACATGAAACACGCACCAGTGTGAAGCATATATAGTGACAATAAAGAGTGCCTCATGACTGTCTCATGCCATCAATGACAATGCTCTGTAACTCCAGTGGTGCTGATTTAAACACACACAAAGATAGTAAGAGGAGGTCATAGAATCATACAGCACAGAAAGAGACCATTCTGCCCATCGTGTCAGAGCCAGCTCCGAAAAGAGTTATCCAACTCAATCCCATTGGCCCGCTTTTCTCCATAGCCCTACAATCCTGTCCTCCCCAAATATCCATTTACTTCTCTCTTAAAAGTTGTTATTGAATCGGCTTCCACTACCCTTTCAGGTAATGCATTCCAGATCCGAACAACTTGCTATATTAATTTTTTTTTCCGAACTTCCCCTCTCTTTCTTTTAACAACTAACTTAAATCGGTGTCCTCGGGTTACTGACCCACATGCCAGTGGAAACAGTTTTTCCCAGTTCAACCTATCAAATCCTCTCATGATCTTGAAAATCACTATTAAATCCCCTCTTAATCTTCTCTGCTCTAGGGAAAATAATCCTAGTTTTGCTAACCTCTCCTCATAACTAAGGTCCTTCATTCCTGGTACCATCCTGATAAACCTTCTTTGCACCCTCTCCAATGCCCTAACATCTCTCCTAAAGTGCGGTGACCAGAACTGAACACAGTACTCCAACTGAGGCATAATCAGCATTGCATAAATATTCAACATAATCTCCTGACTTTTGAATTCTATGCTCCCATTTATAAAACCTAGTATCCCGTATGCTTTTTTAACAGCTTTATCTACCTGTCCTGCCATCTTCAGAA